ATGATAGTTCTGTCATTTTGCTTACCAGTTGACCTTTAACTTCACGAGGATAATTGTCTTGATTTTATGACGTTTCCTTCTCGTAGGATTCTGTTTTCTTGTTGGCTTATGTAGTATGGTTATTATAGAACCTGAAAGCTTTAGAGGATACTTCCCGGTCAGAAAATTGCAAGTGATAAAGATAATAGTAGTAGTAGTAATAATGATACTATCATAATAATAATGAAAGTGATAATGATAATAGGAACAAAAATAATAGTAGTATTAGTAATATTGTGATGTTGAAAATGTTATATTGTTTCTAGGTCCAACAACAGTAAATGTTCGTATTACTGGGCTCGCCGAAGGGCTTCATGGATTTCATCTTGTAAGTAACGTGACTATGGCTGCCATGACCTATAGGCTTTGTTGCAACCAGCTAGTTGAATTTCTGGAATCTCATTTTAATTAATCTATCTTTGTATTTCCTTCTGTAGCATGAGTATGGAGACACAACAAATGGATGCATTTCTACAGGTAGTGCATGATCTCATTCTCATGTCCATTTTTGAGCTAGATATTTCTTTATCAAGAAATTCGTAGCTAGTGAGTTTGTATTTTTGGACATCTTTGTTTCTTTTTCGATGTTTATGTATTATTTTCAATTGTAGGAGCACATTTCAATCCAAACAAATTAACACATGGTGCTCCTGAGGACGAAATCCGTCATGCGGGTGACCTGGGAAACATAATTGCCAATGCTGATGGTATATGCCTTTCCTTTCAAAAGGTTTTTAAAATTTTTTTATTTTATTTTATGTTCCATAAATCTGTAACTTCTAACACGACATTATATCGTTTCTTAATATACAGGAGTAGCAGAGGCAACCATTGTAGATAACCAGGTGCCACTTTGAACTTTCATTACTTTATCCATATATGCCATCATCACTATCCAAATGCTCAGAATTATTAACGTCTTCACCATGAATGGCATTGCAATAGCTATTAATGTTGGTAGCAGTGCTACCGATCAATTTTTTTTTATATATATATTGTACATGCATATCTGTTAATGAGACATGACTGCAGTTATCTTAGTATTTGCAAGTTGAAAGAAAAAAATTTTATTTGAAGCCTTTATTTTAGATCTGCATCTCTAACATGCTCAGTTATTAATTCCGCAATCTGTAGATTCCTCTCAGTGGCCCCAATTCTGTAGTTGGAAGAGCCTTTGTGGTACACGAGCTTGAGGATGATCTTGGGAAGGGTATGTTCCATTCAGTATTTCGAATTAGCGACATGTTTGACCCCTCCTTTTATTTCCTAGTTGACTTGGATTATCTTTATAGTCACTTAATCACTCAAGCAATTATCAACAGGGGTGAAAACATTAAAAATCGAAATAAAAGATTCTGCTTAATAGATTATGATATACTATTCTTAATCAAATTGTGGAGGAGAGATTTTATTTCCCTTTAGACCTGCACTATTAAGTTATTAACTGCTGTTAAGTGACAACGATGTCTGTATTACATTGCTGGGCTGTTCTTTGTTTCACTATCAAATTTCTACCTCTCTTCTCATTTTTCTGGTTATGATTATGTAGGAGGCCACGAACTCAGTTTGACCACTGGAAACGCTGGTGGAAGATTGGCTTGTGGTATGCGAACTATAGATATCTTTCTTCTTCCCTCTAAAGAGTCTTATACTGTTCTCCCCCCTTTCATGCTTGACATATACCTATATTTATAAGATGGTTCTGTTGATCAATTTGTTCGACATAAAAGGAACAGAAGCGATAAACTGTGCATTAGAACTATTTGGCCACTTAAAGTTCTTTTGGATCCCTGGTGGGTGCTGACTTCGATGGATACTTTCCAACATATTTCATTCATATCATCTTAAAAAAACAACAAGGATTGCAAATTTTAAACAATATTTCATTTCCAAAAGAACCGAGTTATACTGGAGACCCGCTGGTTGTTTTGGAGGTGAACTTAAGGATAGATTGTGCAGTTTACTAAACTCTACCTTATTGAATATTGATTGACCTCTAAGATGCAAGTAGATACATAACTTTAATTCAAATTCTCTGTCCAGGGCTTTCTTATATACATTTTGCTGTTGAGTAAATTTTTAGATGCAACGAAGCTGAGTAAATGAAGTATGTTTTAATCCAAAATCTCTCGGCTATGGATAGTGTTGCCTTTCTGTAAATGTTTTCTTATAGATTGCCACACAGCTTTAGATATTTCAATTATCGACCCATTGTATAGAGATGCAATCTAAAAGTCTCAGTGTTGGTTATTATTCTGATATGTGCAATGGCATGATATTTTCCCAATTCACTTAAATTAGCAGCTAGTCAAATTGCTAATCTATTGCTTTGCTTGAGTGCCATGTTGGCGTAGAAGAGCAAAATCCAGAAATTCCCCATTAAGTTGCCCAAATACTTGAAAATTTCCATATCTGCTCAATAGTTCATCATTCAGAATGCCTACTAAATGGTGATACAAGAGATTCTCATTCTGGTCGTTGGAATTTGCAGGTGTCGTCGGGCTGACTCCTGTGTAATTGCAACGAGCAACTTTGTAGCCTATGAAGTCGTACGAGCTATATGAGCACGGTTGGCTGCTTGTCATCRCCCGCTTCTCCACAGCCTTGATTTTCTTTTCTTTTGTCTGAGGATATAAACTGTAGTATCGGAAACTGGAAAGGCAGATTCAATTGTGTTCTCAGTAATATCTGTTCCTGTTCTTCCCAACTAGCTAGCTGAATAAAATTGACTTGCTGCTTGAGCTATGTGGGCTTGACATAGATTTCTTCAGTTAACTTCACAGATTTGTGAGATGTTACATAGATTCGCTCTAACCTTTACTGGTTAACAGACCATTTGTAAGTGGCATGATGACCTTGCTGCCACAATCATCCATTGAGATTCAGCCTTTCAGTACTCCGATTTGTAAGGAAATTTGCAAGGAAAAAAAAAAAGAAGGTTATTTAATAAACACACTATTAAATAACCAGTTCTACAAGTAATTGTTAGAAGTTTATGGATCCACTTGCATTTCAACTTCATGTGGGGGTTCAAGTACCTGGCTGCAACTTCATAACATGTGAACGTAGCAATCAATTGTTGTGGATGCGACACGTGGAAGGTGCTTTTGATGCCAATTTCATTCTTATTGGAAAAGCCGAACAAAACCATAACCTGCACTACCAAGCAACCCAAATTTCTAATTACATAAAAAAAACACAAAATAATAATTATAATAATGATAATTCAAGCAATATGAACCAAATTAGGCAACCACTCATGTCCCCTTCATTTGCTCATAAACATTCAACAATTTTGAAGCTCCAAAAGCTCCTTAAAGGATATTAGGAGGAGCTGTCCTAATCAACCAATTTCTTTCCTTTTTGTTTCTTCTCTCTTCTTCCGACTCTTTTCCTAACACTGGGTTTTGATGGTACCCAAATTAGGTTCATATCTCTAGAATTGTTGACCCGAACACATTCAACTAGTTAGGACATCAGAATCGTTTCTCGAAGTCATATGTTCGAGTCCCCTAAAAACCGAGAAAGACTTATGGACAACAGCTTGTAGCTCTCAYTTCCATYGAAGAAGAAATGAGTGTTTTAGTGAAATGGTAGGTTGATGATAATGTGTGGTTGAAGTTGCAGTTCACGAGGAGACATGGAGTTAGATTCAAGAAGTGAAAGACAACCAGAGAGAGAGAGATGTGTGAGCCTAACTTTAGGCTTGCGGTTGGCTTGGAGTCATTTTCTTGCACGAAAATTAGTATTACAAGTCAATTTTTTCATACCATTCTATTTTCCTTAAAACAAAAAATTGTTAATTTTTTAAAATTCACTCAAAGTCGAGCTACTATAATGCGACAAAACCCATTATTAATTGCTAACATAAGTGAATCGATGATTTTAAAATATTAGTTTGGTTCTTGTACTTTCAACTTTGGTTTATTTTGGTTACTGTACTTTCAAAATGTTCATTTTAATCCATGTATTTTTAAAAATAGACCAATTTGGTCCATTCATTTTATTTTTAATATTGTTTTTTCTACCATAATTTCAATACAACATTACAATCAAATATATTTCCTAAAATCTAAACATTACTTTATAATAAAGAGTTTGTGTTAAAGTTTTACAAAAAGAGACTAAAATGATCTCTTTTTAAAGTACATGATCAAAATAAACCTTTCTAAAGTAGAAAGACTAAAAGAACCAAAGTTAAAAAAATATAGATCAAAATAAACACTTTCAAAATATAGGATTGATTGAATCAAATAATATTTTAAATTGAGTAGCCAAATTTTCATTTCATTTTTTTTGTTGGATGAATTTTCTGTTCCCAATAATTGTATACAATTTGCATGTAAAGGTTTGGGATTGGTTATAACTGCCCCAATCTACTTCTCAAACTCATCAATATGACCACCCTATTCTACCAATCACCCATACCACTAAGAATTAGAGAGAGATGAGAGATTTAAGATTTAATGGCATATAAATAAAATTTCTACTTTCTCATTATAAATAAATTTCTTGTATGAAAGTACATTATTAATATTCTCTTAATACACCAATTATTTGGGTACATTAGAGTTGTAATCTCTGTACAGATATTCAAGAAAAAGGGGTGTTTTTTTAATTTTTATAATAACTAGTTCAATTTAATTCATTTGTTAAACTCGGTTTTACAATAAGAATTTTAGTTATTTTTTAAAAAACAGGTCATCCAACAAAACCTTTTTTGTGTTTTGTTTTCTAAACTAGAAATTTATTTTCTAGAACATTTCCAAATAGCTCATACTTCCTAGAAGTGTTATAAATTAGGGTTTTTACCCCATGAGAAACATAAATTAAAGTTGGCCACATAAAATTAAGATCATCAATAATTAATGTGATACACTAACACATGTGGAATAATTAGTGTGAGCTTTATTAATTAAGTTTATTGACTAATTCATTAAAATTAGAGACTTTATAAGCCATGAAAATCGATCAAAATCTTACATAAAGGATTAATCGAACTTACTTTGGTAAAACCCGTATTAGTAGCTTATATTTAATGAAGGGTATTTTTTTTCTCCATCGTTAATTAATAATATTAAGATGAATGTCAAGAGGGTTAATTTGGGTTTAGTGACATAAATCAAAGTTTTCAAGATTAATTAAGTGGTTGAGATCTAGTTAGAAGGAGAGAAAGTGGCTTGCACCATACTCTCCTCTTTGGCTATCTTATAAGATAAGATAATGCTTTTGAGTAAAGTATGAACCATATGAAAAGGGTCTATATTTTTTCTCTCTCTCTAGATATATACACACTCAAAGAGTGAGAAAAATCACATTATTGGATTGGTTAAGTGTCTATGGATTAATAATGATTATAAAAATTGGGTATGACTTTGTTACAAAATTTGGTCCTTTTTTTTAGAGGTAAGCAAAGTCTCCATCCATGCTTGAAGAATAAGATAGAAAAGTAGACACCCACCCCCACTTTATTTTTCATCACACTCTCTCTATAATATATAGTTTTAGTGAGCTTCATACTTTGGAATAATTAAACTAAAATTAATATCTACGTGCATGTTTGTAATTTTACTTACTATTAAACAACTACCAAGAAAAGTACTCGGTCAAAAGGGTAAAATAGCAACATTATTGTTAACTTTTCAATAATATACATATATATTTTTTTGAGGGAAAAACCAAACTTCATTAAACTTTTCAATAATATTTGGTAGCTAACTCATGTGGTGACATTTAAATGTGGCTTGTTTTTATTGGATAAAAAATAAAGCTTAGATTAGAAATCTGATACGCTTAGCACATACTAATGAGATTTCTTTAATGTAATACCTAAAAGAGGTGTTTGGTTCACGGATTTGAAAAAATTTGTGAGATATGTGTGGCTAGGAACTTGGCCTTGTAGCATGGTATTTAACACAAAGGAATTAGTCTTTTTAAGCTTTTATAACTTCTGGTTGATTTGTGGAATGGTTTGTTTGAGTGATACGATCAATTAATGCGTAATACGAGAGAACAATTACGAGTAGTTAAGAGCGTTCTTTTAGTACAATATGTTGGGTGGAGGATCGAATTTACAACCTCTTGGTTGAAGATATATGTCAATTATCGCTGAGCTATGTTCGCTTTGACCTAATAAATTGTTTCTTACCCGTAGTGTGTGTTTTTGCTAAACATTATGTACAATTGAAAAAATAATTTAATTAGGTAAAACTATTAGAAGTTATGTCAAACCCAACCGAACCAAAACGAATTTAAATATCAATGCCTACAACCTCTATAGAGACTAAAATCAGTGATTAAGTGAAGCATATACATTATAGTATCAACAACATTTTTTAAGGGTGTGAAAGCTAAAATAAAACGCAGCCATGTGTTGTTTTGTTGAAGGTTTGAAATATCCATCAAGATTCTCACACAGAGGTTTGCTAAAAGGGAAGAAATTTATTTTGCCCACAGAATAAGTGATTAAACAAAATTGGTTTAAATGTCCATAAACTCTCACAAAATTGCCCACCATATATACAAATTTATGACTGTATTTTAGGAAATTAAATGAATGAAGTGTCGTTACTAAAATTATAACTAAAAAAAATTTTAAATAATCGCTTTTTAAAATTAAATATAAAAAAGTGGTATATTCATGAATAAAAGTTATTCATGGACAGTCAGTTCAGTAATAACCAAGAAAATTATGTTTATTGAGAGAGCGAAGAGTGACGTGAGAACTGTTGGAACTGAACAATGAACAACTTGGCATTCCCACCAACGAAACTAAATTACAATATCAATTTCTCTTTTATTTATTTTAATTTCTTTTCTTTTTCAAAGAAAAAGACACCTTCCCCATCTAAAGTTGCGGTTCCCTAAAGGTTACTTTACTTTATGATACTTCATCCCCCAATTTTTATACTCAATTAGAATTTTAAATCCTTATGATTCCAACTTTAATTAGTTTCAATTTGGTTTATGTAGTTTTAAAAGCATTCTTATAATTTTCATACTTAGTGAAATTTAATTTCTACCGTTGTTACTAGATGTCAATAATTTTCTTATACGATATATATATTTTTAATCTAGAAAAAAAAAGATGTTGAACTTATATTTAGTGTATTTGTGAGGATTAAATTAGTTCACTGTTATTTGAGTCTGATAAAAAAATAGAAGAATTTTCAATAATAGAAAAAGGGATCGGTAGTATAAATTAGGAAGTGTATATGGTGGGTCTCGTTGAACAACATTATATATAGATCTCTATAATAAAAAATTTTTAGAATTACAAAAACCAAATTAAATAAAATTAAAACGTAAAATAATGGTTTTGCCTTGTTAGAAGAAAGTGTATGGTTCAACTAAAAAAATCTAAAATAATAGTTTGACTTTTTTTATAAATCAAACCAATTCAAGGATAAAATTAGTTACCCCAACCTTTTGAAATTTTAACGTCTTTACTTTCCAAACTTAATTAAAAAAGAAATCAACCCTCCAATATTTGCCATATATGTAACGTACCTAGTTTTAGGTTACGGTCATCTCTACCATCTCCAATTTTACCCACCTTATTTGTCTCGTCACTCTATTCTATTTGCTTCACAATAGAGTGGGGAAAAGAAAAAAAACAACAACAAAAAATTGAAATATATATATATATATATATATCTAAATTCCTATATGTGGTATTTGAGTTATTTTTTAATCTATTTATAATTTAATTATCGAACTAATTATTAATCTTACCATGTTATCATCAAATTAGGGCCTTAGAATAGAACATCAACCACATAAAAAGCTAATTAAGATTATTA